CCCTTCATCAGGCCCGAAACGTCAGCCTTCCTGCTCCTATGATGCTGCTTGGCCTGCTGTGTTCATCCAGCTCTACACCCTGTTATCTCAGATTCTCCAGCATCTGCAGTTCCTGCTATCTCTAATCACATTGTTAAGTTTGTTAACATCTTTCTTTAGTTAAGGTTAGGAAAAAACAGGTAGCATCTGTTAATTGTCTGAGTACATTTTTTTCTGTTGCTCAATGCCAAGCGTGGAAGGAACTGTGATACTCAGTAGTCAATAAACTGGGGAAGTGACTTAGTTTTCTGTCTCACCGACTGGCTTAGGCTTGCTTTGGGAGGCAGCAGCCATGACTTCAGTCTGACCCTGACATTGGAAGATAAAAATTCAGTGTGAATGGGCTGATTTTGAATGGGTCACACTGTTGGAGAATGGTCTGATTCTAAACCCACCTTGAGTATGAATATCTGGGCCATTGAGAACGGCCGCTCAACATCGCTAGAAGAACACGAGAAGCTGCTAGTGTCCCAGCCAATGTTTTTGCCTCAACTAGCACCAGAAAACAACTCACAAAAACAATTAAATTAATGCTTACATAAAACTTTTGCATGAAAAAACAACCAGTTTGTACATATTATGATACCCCTTAGGGGAAGTTGGACTTTGGGATTCGAACCTGGACCTTCTCGCCCAGAGGTAGGGACACTATTACACTATAAAGACTCTACTTTCAAAAGGGTTAACATAAACTGGCTAGGAATTAAACCTGAGTCTCCCAGGTAGCACTGAGCCACCAATGCCACTATTTTGGACCTTTTGCATAGATTGGCTACTGCACTTCAAAAGTAATTTACAGTATATAAAATGTCTAGAGGAATTCTGAGGGCATCAAAAGACACCATATGCATGTCTAATTTCCTAAGTGTTTCCAAAGTAGCCTTGCAGCCAAGAATAAACCATATGTCTAATCCATTTCTTTTTCTTTATGCATTCACGGGATGAGGGCATCGCTGATCAGGCAGCATTTATTGCCCATCCCTAATTGCCCAGAGGGCAGTTTAGAGTCAACCACATTGCTGTGGGTCTAGAATCACATGTAGGCCAGACCAGGTAAGGATGGCAGTTTCCTTCCCTAAAGGGCATTAGTGAACCAGGTGGGTTTTTCCAACAATTGACAATGGATTCATGGTCATCATTAGATTCTTAATTCCAGATATTTATTGAATTCAAATTCCATCACCTGCCATGGTGGAATTCAAACCGGGTCTCTGGATTAACAGTCCAGCGATAATACCACTAGGCCATTGCCTTCCCATATTTATTTAAATGAAACATTTATTTTTCAATCTTCATTTTGTTTATGGTTAGAACTGCAATTCATCATTTAATGAGGATGTGACTAAAAGCATAGACAGCAGTCATTGCCAAAATTGGTAATAAATTTATGCCAGTAAAAAATCTGTGGCACTGGGTGTACATTTACAATAAAATCACAAGAAGTCATTGCTTAATTCCCTAAAGATTAGAATAGCATTTATGCAATAATTTGCAAAAAAAAGGGCACATTGCCAGTCAAGAATGTTTTTAATTACCCCAAAAGTATTGTGTATTATTTAGTTATCTGCATAGTTTCTCTAACTGGACTTAATGGTTTGCTTTCTATCACAGCTTTTTGCGGACTTATATGCGTAAAATGAAAAGTACCAAGCACAACAAAAATTCATTGGAAAGAGAAATTATTACTTACATTTCCTTCCGTCACACTTTGAATTTCTGATTTGCTTACATATTGTTAGGTCTTGTGACACAGAGAGTAGTGACCCTGCATCTGAGCCAGATATTCTGGGCTTAAGTCTTACTCACTAATGCCCAGGGCTGGAGCGTCCCTAACTTGACAGACTTCTAGTCATCCATGCTTGATGTGGATTGGCATTCCTCAGGTGATACTGTGGTGACAGTTTAGCAATTAGTGTTCCAGAAATCAAACCAGTTATGGTAACGTGTGCCTCATATATTGCTAGATGTGGGAAAGCCTCTTGAGTCTGCCATATTCAAAACTGATGCTGATTACCTCAAATGCAGCTAGAAAAGTTGGAAACTAATGGACTATCACCTATAGGTATTTAACTGAATGTTGTGACCTTTCCAGGTTTAAGTCACTCTCCAGTAATTGAGCACAACAATCAAGACTGATATATCAGTTGACTACTGAGGGAGTGCAGTGCTATTGGAGATGCCATCTTGCAGATGAGACTTAGAGTGAGACTCTTTGAAAGAAGCACATAGCTGTCATCCCTAGTGTCATGGCCAAAATTTATCCTTCATTCAATGTCACAAAACAGGTTATTATATTGTTGCTTTTTGCTACGTTATGTGTAATTGGCTATCAAGTTTCCTATGTTACAACAATGACTAAATTCAAAATTTTCATAACTGTAAATTGCTTTGAGATATCTGGAACAATGAAAAGCATAATATTGATGCACAACTTAATTTTATTATTGTGACTGATGATTGTTGTTAACAAATGAAGAATGGATAGAACTAACAATGGTCGTTTGATTGCATTGATTGTTGTTCCTTGGATATTAAAAGATTTTTCTTGTTCACTACACAACTTTGCTTTAAAAGCAAGATTTAAATTTCCTTTTGACCATGTACATTTCAGAACTTTTTTAAAATTAGATTCGTATAATTGCTTTCATCTCTCTCCAAAACCACTAACATGATATTTTGTTTTTCTTCTTCCAGCATAACCCAGCTGTCCCAGATGTTGCAATGAATGGCAACACTGTAGAACAAGGGACTTTGTCACAGCCTCGTAGCTGGAAAGAGTTCTGTGAGCTGCATGCCCATGCCACTGCCACGGAGCTCGCTAGGCAGTATTTGCTATTTGCAAATGAAAATCCAAGTCACGACACACAGGGGCCTGAAAACTTTTCTTTACAATTCACAGATCTCTTTCAACAGTACTTCAGAAATGAGGTAAAAGAGGGACTTGCTCTGAATAGGTGTACCATCGTGCCCTTCACAGGAGTACAGGATTACAGGGAAGCAAGTAGGAAATCTACCGATGGCTCTTCTGGTCTGGTTTTACCGAAGATGGAAACTGAGGTGAACAGTGTTGAACAAACTGAAAGGAGTTCTGACGCTAATCTCCCGTTTTCATCAAAGTCACGAAGTTCTGAAGATGTTTCAGTTTCTGCATGCCCTTCACTTGAACGACCCAAAACTTTGAGTCAGTTTACAAGAAATGTAAAAGGCAGTATACGACGACTGTTCCGAAGAAAATCCACAGATGCAATACCTGTAGATGGAAAAGAAGAAGCTTCTGGAGAGATTGGCTTACCTGAAAGGGACTGGTTTAGAAACCTGACTCATAAATTCCCTTGGTCAAGAACTGTATATCGAGAAGAGGTTCATGACATCCGCAAGGAAGGTGTTTTAAATTATATGGTGGTGGATGATGTAAGCATGGACATGGACACACGGTGGCAAAGGTGTAGACTGCTTGTGCGAAAGGCAAAGTCATATGAAGGTGATGGATATGTACTGGAGTTATTTGACCCACCAAAGGTAAGTGCACCTTTTTATGAAAACTTATTTTCTGGCTAATTGATTTCAGAGTTTGGCTGATTCTTCTTTTAAATTTTTTAAATTTAATTTTTTTTAACTTGAATTGCTCTGTGTGAAAGCTTGTTAATTTAAGTTAAGATGATTGAGGCAGCAATCTTGATGACATGTTGAAACAATTGTAATAAACTACATGCAATAAACCCACAAACCCATAAGCTAATGTGAATCTTTCTGAGGTCTCAAAGCAGCATCTGTTGTAGCACGTGGTTTGGTTTCTTGACAGAGCAATACAAGTGTCCTAAGCCTAGCTATGTTAAAACATACCTCTGAAAACCTTTTGGATGTTTACAACATTTAAAATTTTTAAGTTGATACCATTTAGTGGTGATTTGGAGAGGGAGCATACAAAGTCTTTTTAGGTATTATATGATACTGTTGTTTTGATTAGCAGTGTAAAAGGTACTCCATATAACACTTCTCAAAGATAATGCCACTGACTAGATTGTCTAGGCAAGAAATGCAGTTCCAAATGTTGGCAATTTGCAAAAAAGCTGAGAATTGATCAGAAATTATGCACTGATCTATTTTCCACCCTTTTGGAGTATGTAAGTACTGCAACAATCAAGTTTGTCAGCAGGCTTAAGACTATTTTGTGCTGGAATAGATTGTTGTGTTTGTAGAAATAGCACTGGCTATGTTTTGCATCAATAGTTACACAATTATTGAAGATAACCACTCAGAAGTACAGATATATAGGATCAGAAATTACGAATTATCACTTAGAGCTTGGTCAGATTTTTGTAGAACCATAGAAAAGTAGCATAGAATGAGACCAGTCAGCCCATCATATCTTTTCTGGCTCAGTAAACTAGCCACCTAATATATGTCTGTACAACACCAACTACTTTTGTCTTCTATCTTTTACTTTTTTAGAAAAGTTCCAAACACATTGTATTCTATGCTCAGAATGTATATTTCTGTTCTGGTAGTTACATGCAGACATTTCTCTGATCATATAGAGGTTAGTTGTAACAGCACATCCAAATTAGTAAAGAAGGATTGTTAAGGACAGTATGTTGTATTACCACAGATATCTGCATATCACGATGTGGTATTGCAAAAGTAATTTTACTGGCCAAAGTGAGTTAAATTTTTGGGAATGTTTATATAGTTTAAAGAATATTTAAACACGAGCACTCTAGCCTTTGGAAGTAATGGCTAATTTCACTATTGGTGAAATTGAATTGCAGTGTTTTGCTATATGCTTAAAACATATCAAAGGTGTTTTGACATGTAAAACGTTTTGAATTCTTTTACTGGTTTCAAGTAAATTCAATTCTGCATAAATCATTTCCTAATATATCATTGCTTGCACAGATAGAAACAAAAGGTCACATATTCAGCACATCTGCAGTTACCATCTGTTTGGATGTTTCCTCCTTTGATGGCTTGGTTTTTAAAAAAAAACAAGTGAAGTTTATGAGGTGGTGGTGAGGCACTCACTTATTGCCTGACGAGTGCATCTAAACTTGGAGACAATCCCTGGCCTCTGTAAACAGCAGCATTAATATAGCGATGTCCTTCTAAATGTTATATAAATATTTAACTGTACATTTCCTGCTTATTAGCCACGTCAATTATGTTTCAGCTTGTCCTTTAATTTTTTTTTGATTAACCCTTTGGGAGTAGTGGCATTTTTAATAATTAATTGTACTTGATATCTAAGAAATTTTCAAATCTGCACAATGTTAATTAAACCAGGCAAGCAGTATTTTGGTAAGTCATAGAGACGTACAGCACGGAAACAGACCTTTCAGTCCAACTCGTCCATGCCGACCAGATACTGTATCCCACGTAAATCCGGTTCCATTTGCCAGCATTTGGCCCATATCCCTCCAAACCCTTCCTATTCATATACCCATTCCAATGCCTTTTAAATGTTATAATTGTACCAGCCTCCTCCACTTCCTCTGGCAGCTCATTCCATACATGCGCAACACTCTGCGTGAAAAGATTGCCCCTTAGGTCCCTTTTAAACCTTTCCCCTCTCGCCTTAAACCTTTGCCCTCTGGTTTTGGACTCCCCCACCCCAGGAAAAAACCTTGTCTATTTACCCTATCCATGCTCCTCATGATTTTGCAAACTCTGAGGTCACCCCTCAGCCTCTGATGCTCCAGGGAAAATAGTCCCAGCCTATTCAGCCTTTCCCTATAGCTCAAACCCTCCAACTTTTCGTAACTTTTTCTTCCTCCTTACTCTGAAAGCAGGTCAATGATTTCTTTTTGTATGTAGCCTTTAGCATAGACAAGCAATTTGATGCCCTTCTTAGAAGTATAATCAGGCAAAAAACAAAACAAAGGTAATGAGGTAATTCAGAACTTGGTGAAAGAGGTGAGTTTTAAGAGGGTCTTCATGGAGGAAAGTGAGGAGACAAAGAAGCAGGGAGCTTTGTGGAGAGGGAATTCCAGAGTTTGCAGTTTAGATGACTGAAAGTATGAGCACCAGTGGTGGGCCATGAGCATTATTCATTATCTATTCAAGTTTAAGGTTTATTTTATGTGCGAGCTTAAGACAGTAACTCCAGGCAAACTATTTAACTGCAAAAGGCATCACAGCACCACATGCAGGGAAAGAGTGGGTGAGTGAAATTAATTGTATAACCAAAAGCTCAGCCATGGTACGCTGAAAGGCTTCATTCTGCGATAATACAATTGTATGATTTCATTTTCATTTTGCTGCTGGTTTTAATGTGCAGACAAGAATATTTTCCTTTTTCTTTCTGTTTTGATGAAGGGGTGCTGTAGGAAATAATCATGTAACAATTTTTTTTTGTTTGTTATCTGTTGTAACACATAGCAAGTTATAAGAAGTTGAAGAGCTTTTACTTGGTGCCCAAGTGCTCTAATATGGTAGTTTCATAATCTGGTATTCAGATTGAGTACAACCCCACAAGTAAAACTATGTTGTGCTCTTTCAGTATAGTTTCCAATCCTGCTATAATGTTGGTAATATCTCTTTATCCTACCTGTGACAGCAGAGTCAAAAATCAAGCCATGTCAGAAAACCTCTGTACATTGACCAGTCAGAAAAGTCAGTTACAGTAAGAATTGCATGTCTGGTCTATTTCACAAAAGATAGTGGCTATCTGTAAGAGAATTCAGATAATCGAATTTTGGGGTTTATTACATCAAGAAAATGCTCAAGGTCCCCTTAGAATCCCTACTGTGTGGAAGCAGGCCATTCAGCCCATCGAGTCCACACCAACTGTCCAAAGAGCATCCCATGCCCACCCTCCAAACCTATAGCCCTGCATTTCCCAGGGCTAATCCTTCTAGACTACACATCCCTGGACACTGTAGGCAATTTAGCATAACCATTCCACCTAACCGGCACACCTTTTGGACTGTGGGAGGAAACTGGAGCACAGGAGGAAATTCACACAGACACAGGGAGAATGTGCAAACTCCACACAGCCAGTCGCCTGAGGCTGGAATTGAACCTGGGTCCCTGATGTTGTGAGTGACCAGTGCTAACCACTGAGCCACCGTGCTGCCCCCTTATCTAGGGAAAGAAATTATTTCATTGGAGGCAGTTCAGAGATGGTTCACTAGGGTAATCCCTGGTAAACAAGGATTGTCTTGTGAGCAAAGACATAAATGGATTGGGATGCTACTCATTGCAAGTTAGAATAATGAGAGGCAATCTAATTGAAATATGTATAGGATTCTTATGGGGCCTGACAGGGGAAATGCTGAGAGGATGTTTCCCCTTATGTGAGAATCTAGAACTAGAGGGAATAGTATCACAATTAAGGGGCACAAATTTAAGACTGAGATGCAAAGGAATTTCTTCTTTCAGAAAGTTGTGAGCTTTTCAAACTCGTTGCCACTGTGTGGTGGAGTCCTTGTGGATATTTCAGGCTGAGGTAGATGGATTCTTGACCAGTAGGTGAATCAAGGATTATGGGAAAAGAGCAGAAAAGTGGATGTGAGGAGTGTCAGATCAGCCATGGTCCTATTGAATGGCGGACCAGGCTCGAGGGACTGTTCCTATGTCTTATGGTCTTATTTCTCTGTCTCTCTCTGTGGGTTGTAAATCTTAACTCAATAACACTTCAGCCATCTCACCAGGTACCTTGCCTAGTTGTTTAGTTTAAGTCACATGATTTCTTGGAAATGTTGTTTTGACCCACTGCTAACAAAAGAGCTTCTGACCCTTAAAATAAACAAATTACCCTCACAGAACTGAAAACCAAGTACTTGTTTACCTGTACTTCAGAACCCAGGCCCCCACAGAATAATAATATATTATGAACAGGCTGTAGTACAGTATTTCAATGTTGCAGTTAGTTTGAAATTTCAGGATTTTTCTTAAGGACTACGTAAAAATCTTCTCGGTATTTTACAGCTAGTCCTGGGACTACATCCCAGTTTTCCCGACATCACTTTGGTCTGCGAACCCTCCTCCCTGTAGTCAGGTTGTGTGAGCAATGATGACCACTTGCAGCTGAATACCATTCTTTATGTAACATTCACCTGTTGAGCCTTTGGGTGATCGCATGTTAAATGTCTTGGCTTAGGCTGCTGTAGCATTATGTGACATAAATCAATTTTTCACCTCACAGCAGGAAACCTTCGGCCTATTGATTTATTTTATCAATCAACGATATGAAATTTAAAATGATGCATTAGTATTGGGGAACAGGTGTAAGCACACGGTTGAGCAAAATTAAGGATCACTAATTTAAACAGGGGTGGAATTCTTTAAAGAGGTGAAATTTTCTTTTGTTTCTCTGTGCGCTATGTAGAAATGTATGCAGCTTTCGACTTTCAGATAAACATTTGATGTTCTGTTTCCTGTTGTTGTGCTGTGGAAGTGTAGTTTTCCTTTTATCTGGATTTTACTTCCATATTTGGTGCATTATTGCTCTCTGACGAATAATAGCAGTTTCAGACAAAAGCAATAAAAGCAATTTATCAACATTGCACATTTTAATCTAT